ATGTTGGCCAAACACCAAATGACCCTCGTCTGAAGCTTTTCCCGTACAAAGCCAAGTGCACGCTTACAGAGTTTGCATACTCCGGCAAGCCTCTGGAGATTGACGCTCTTTGCTCATTGATCTTGAACACTTTGAATGGAAACTTGTACTTGCTCCTATGGTTCTGGTACATCACCCTCATTTTCCTCAGCACCTGTGCCATTATTTACAGAGCAGCAACTTTCTTTTGGCCATCCATTATGTTTATCGGTTTCAACAAGGACAGCATCACGTCAGCAATTGGTCAAGGCAGTGTGGGAGACTGGTTCATCATGAAGATAATCTCTAACAGTCTTGTGAGAAACAGAGACTTTGCTAATTTAGTCTTGGAGCTTCAGAACTTAAATACTGACGATGCTGCTACTAATCTTAAAAATGCTTAAACACTATAAAAATTGCCATTTATCCCTTCAAATTGTCCAGCATCAATAAGCGGTCTCAGCCATCCCACTGTAACACTTGTAATCACTTAAAATTAATTCGATTCTTTTTTTGTTTGACCAATTTTTTTTATTTTTGTAAACACTAACAACTTTCAATAAAAATGCATTACGTAATAAAAATTTTGTTTAGCTCATTTTTATATTTTTGACAATACCAAAATTAGCAGCAGCGGTAGGTTTAGATTAGGCAAGAGAAAAAAGTTATTTAGCATAAAAGTGAATATTAAATGAAATCAAGTGCAAATCAGTGAGGCGGTTACACTTTGTTCTGTCTTTGAACCGGTTACAGTTGCTGGTAAAGCACGGATGGTCAATTAATTAGCTAATTTTTCTTTTTTACTGCTGCAGACTATGTTATGCGGCGCATTGCAGTCAGCTTGCTGCGATGAGAACTTTTTCGTCACTGCCAAATTGGCGTCAAATGTGTGAAAATGAAAAAGAGAAGGTCGTAATAGGTATCTCTTTATGGCAGACAGCCTTATCTTTTATGTTACATTATTTCACTGGCAGCAATTAGAAAATACCCTGTCTAGACTACCTTTTTGCTGATGCCTACAAAAAAGTTTTGCAACCGATTTTCTTTGATTAAAAAATTAAATAACAACAGAAAAGAAAACTCAAATAAACTTATTGCTTTTTTCTGCAAAAAAACAGTTCAGAAAACTTAAAAAAAATTTTAGAACAACACGTTAGCAAATTTTGCAATTTTTAGAAAAAAATGTTCAAAAAATCAAAGTTCAAAAATCTACGTGTCGCTGTACGCTGCACTCCAAATAGACCGTCTCTCAAAACAGACAACTCATCTCAGTTTCGTTTCAATTGTGCTCGTCATCAATCTCACCAAAAGTTAATCTCCCAACGCTTTCAAACTCATCACCACGATCATGTCGCGAAAGAAGTTCACTTCGTTGAGCAAGGAGGACTACGCCGGAAAGGGCGGCATCGGTAGTCAACTGAAAATGAAGTCTAACCAAAAGAAGGTGCTTCCTGTCAGCTCAGCTTCAATGGCCACCGCCAAAACTTCAGGACCGCCGAAGTTGCAAGTTTTGGAGCGAAAAACTCGCGCCAAGCCCAGCAAAACAGAGCACTCCAAAGGACTGCTGACTGTCTCCGCGAAAATATGGCCACTGAAGTCGTCAGTTGGGAAACTGACAGAGAACAGCATCACCAGCAGCACTTCTCCCACTGCCAGCAAATCAACAGTTTCAAAGGGCAAAGAAAAGTCCAAAGGTGCTGTTGTTGCTGGCAGACACCTCGGCTCAGCTCGCAAGGTGCCCCCTGCCAAAGTGGGCTCTTCTATTCCTCCAAAATCTGACTCTAAAAAGGCCAAACTGCTGTCTTCTTCAGTGCAGTCTAACACTGTTCCTCCCCCTCCTCCACCACCCGCACTGAAAACCAAAGAGGAAAGTAAATTGGGTGCTGCAGCAATGGTGAAAGCAGAAAAGAGCATTCCCAAGGTTTCAGCTCCGGGCAAAAAAAGCGGTGCTATTGCTAAAGCAACTCCGACGCTGAAAATCAAAGAAGGAGGTAAATCGTCTGCTGCTGCTATTGCTCCAATGGTGGCTGCAAAGAAAAGCCTTCCAAAAGTGGAAGCTGCAAAGATGTCCACAAGCAGTCCAGCAGAGAAGAAGGAGATGAAGGAAGAGGCTTTGAATCAGCTGAAGCCTCCAAAAACTGCTGAGAAAACTTCAGAGCCTGCCGCTGAAGCTTCACCGCCTCCTCAAAGAGCTCCCAAAAAAGAGGAGGAGGAGAAAAAAGAGGAGAAAAAGAAGGAAGAGAAAGTGGAGGGAAAGAAAAAGATCGACTCATTTTCTCCTCCCATTTTTGTTGCCTCTTCTCTGCCGATGATGGCAGTTGCTGCGGCGGCAGCCATTTCCCTGCTGACCGCTGGCGCCTTCATCGCCTTCCGCCTCCTTCGCCGCACTTGAAGAGGAGGAGGGAGTGCACACCTGTTTTCCCCTCCCATTTTTTCTTTTACAGCTGTTCACTTCAACTCAGCTCAGCAGCAGCAGCATCAGTAACACTTTACTTCATATAAAAAATAGTTGTTATATTTGTGTCACCTTCTTGCTGACAGCGACGACTGCTCCGGCACACACTCTTCTTAATGCACAAAAATAAAAAAGATAGTAGAAAAAAACCGTATAAAAATGATTTTTCGTTTGTTGAGCATTCCCAATTGAGTTATCAAATACCTCCCCAACAGTCTCAATGTTCACAAGTGCAAAGTAGGGGGCGATCCTTCTGCCCCCTTTGGTTTACCATTTAATCAGCTTATCATTATTGTTACACAGGTAACACCTTTGTCGAAAGGTGCCACTTCTCTGCTGTGTGACAAAGTCAACGAAGCGAAAAGAAGTTCTGAGAAGTGACCGATAGGTGATGACGATGAAGCAAAGAAAGAAAAAGAAAAAGCAAGAGTTGCAAAGATGGCGAAGGAGAAGGTGACAGTGGTGGGAAATTTCAACGTTGGTGGCGCGCTGGCGACGGAAAAATGGCTGACCAAATTGGCCTTTGCGGCAATTTAGTGAGACAATTAGCACACATGTTACTATTTGCACACTAGATTATGCTGTGCTTTGTTCATTGCCAGCCTAACAGAGCAATTTTGACTGACTGACTGACCAATGCGTTTGTAAATGAAGTTGTAACTGTTTAGTTGTCGTTGTTGTTGTTATTGTTATCGTCATCATCAAAAACACAAATTCAAATGAGCTGCACTTGTTTTATAGAGCTAGTGAGCTGCAAAACAAAAATATGCAAATGATCAGCGAAAAATATAAAAAGGGTAAATCCGTAAAACAATTCGTAAAACAAAAACAACAAAAAACAATAAGTCACCAGTTTTGATCTAACTGTCTAAAATAAAGACTTGTTGCTGATTTTGCAAGACACTCAATCTTAACCCTGATAAAATCTAAAAAATCAATTGTCCAACAAATGTGAGAATAAAGCAACAAAAAGCAGTAATTAATTATCGTTTTAGTCATTTGGGCTGCTTGCATTCGGGCAGCAAAGGTACAGCTTTGGGAATAGTTAGCAAGTGCAAAAAAAGAAAGAAAAATTGAAACTTCTCGGCTGGCTCTATAATAATATGCTGGCCAATATTACTTGCGAAAGTGTGTAGTAATGCAATGTCACTGACCACGACAAAGTATTATCAGATCAGTTCTACGATGACCTTAAGTAGAGAAAGGGGTTATACGGTTTTATATAATTTGAAGATGAGAGCAAATGATATGATACACATGATTTGGAAGCTAAAGAAAATTGGTAGCGGTGGTGGAAGGTATATAAAAAAAATGGTAAATATAATTCATGCTTACCTAGAAAGAGAAAAGCCAAGTGGGGTACAAAATAAAGGTTTGCCTGTGAGTGTGTGCATGCTGTGTTACCCAAAAAAGGAGAAAAAGAAGTCATACGAAAAAAGAGAGAGTCAGAAGTAAAGTGGAAAATGGCTTGGTCGGGGAAAGAGGGAGAGAAAGGGGATCAAGAGGAAAGTAATGAGCGCGTTTACAAAAGGAAAAGGAGATCACAAGGAAAATAATTGTAGAGTCCACCAGTGGCCTAGCCGAACCGCTGTNAGGGAGAGAAAGGGGATCAAGAGGAAAGTAATGAGCGCGTTTACAAAAGGAAAAGGAGATCACAAGGAAAATAATTGTAGAGTCCACCAGTGGCCTAGCCGAACCGCTGTCCACCACCGCCCCCAAACTGGTTGTGGTTGCCGGGACCACCACCACCACCACCTCCACCGCCGCCATTGCTCGAGAAGAGGTTCGCATTGGGCGGTCCATTGGGACCACTCATGCCGCTGGCGATTCGCACTCGCTTGTTCTGTGGCTCGTGTAGGTGGTGCTGCTGTTGCTGGTGATGTTGTTGTTGTTGTTGTTGTTGCTGTTGGCTAAGGTGATTGCCGCCCATCTGGTTGGCATTGTTGTTCTTGTTCTGGTGGTGTTGCTGCTGCTGCTGTTGAGTAAGGTGATTGTGGTTAGCATTGTGCTGTTGTTGTTGCTGCTGCTGTGCCTTCTGCAGTTCACTTTGTTGGGCGTGATGTTGCTGCTGCTGCTGTTGAGCATTCTGCTGCTGTTGTTGCTGCTGATTTCCCGCCACCTTCTGTCCGCCGACGCCTACCTGAGTTCCGGCGTTGGCGGCGTTGCCATTGTTTCCATTTCCATTGTTGGCAGCGGCGGCGGCCACTGCAGCGGCAGCCGCCACCGCGGCGGCATTCTGCTGGTTGTTGGCGTGGTTGTTGTGGTGTTCATCATTGTCGTCGTCGGTGAGGAACTCGCGCTTCGGATAGGGAATGATCATGCCGGCGAAAACACTGCAAAACAAAGGAGATGTGTTATTCACAATTTAGAACAGTTTTCTTGCTGTGTGGTACTCACTCTTGCGTCGGCAGTGGATCTTCGGTAAAGTAGGGGTCCTGCATGGCCGTCTCCGAGGACAGGCGTTTGGTGGGGTCCATCAACAGTAGCTTGGAGAGCAGTGTAAAGGCTTTCGTGTCCGACTTGACCTTGTGCTTTTCCATGTACTTGACCAGCGAGCAGTTGGCGTAGCTTTAACGTTAGAGGTTAGTACCAAAGACAAACAAACTTCACCAAAGCATACTTTGAGCGTTTAAAGTTCTTCTGCAGCGTCGGGTGCTCCGGCATCCGCCGAATGTCCTCCCAGTCCTTGTCTTGCGGAAAGCCCATCACATTGAAGATGCGGTCCAGCTGGTCCTGGTGGTAGGGATTGCTCGTCTTGATGTCCTCCTGTCGACAGTGAAAGATCGGCTCCGAGGTGAGCAGCTCCGCGAAGATGCACCCAATGGCCCAGATGTCGATCGCCTTGGTGTAGTGGCGGGCGCCGAGCAGCAGCTCCGGCGCCCGGTACCAGAAGGTGACCACCACCGGGTCCAGATCTGCGAGCGCCTTCAGGGGATTGTTGAAGAGGCGGGCGAAACCCATGTCGGCAATCTTCACGCGGCCTCGCTCTCTGCCCTCGCCCATCACCAGAATGTTGGCAGGTTTCAGGTCGCGGTGGAGGATCCAGTTGCAGTGGAGGTAATGGATTCCGGCAAGAATTTGAAAGATCAGCGACTTGACCATGCCCTTCGCCACGTTCACCGTCTTCTTGTTCGCCTTGGCGCTTCGGTGGAACTTGATGATGTGCTGGGAAGATTTGAAGAAAAAAGTTATAAATTTTTTGGTTTCAATTTTGTGAATGAGAAAATTGTCAACAACAACTGACCCAAAGATCATGCTCGGCGTAGTCAAAGAGCAGCCACACTCGACGGTCGCTGTGCGAGAGAAAGACTCGCTGCAGGTTGATCACGTTGATGTGTTTCAGTTCACGGAGGAGCTGTTTTGTTTGTTTGAAGATAAAAAAGAACATTTAAACTTGAGAAGCCAAGACCACGAAGTATTTTACGTACGGCAATTTCTCGACACGCCGACATGGAGATGCCGCTGCCTTCAATCTGCTTCAGTGCGTACACTCGGTCGTCCTTTCTAAATTGAGATGAAGTGACCATTTTCAGAAATCACCAAAACAATTCCCAATAAAAAAACTCACGCATCTTTTGGCCGCGCCTTGTACACATGACCGTACGTCCCGCGACCGACCTTGCAGCCCTCATACTCAAACTGCTCCTCCACCTTGTACCGCTCACCGGCGAGCTTCGTCTTGAATTCATAGTCCATTCAGAAGGAGTGTGAAGTG